CCTTCTGTTTTGTATATTATCTTTAGGCCGGTCATGACGGAAGATGTGTCGAGGGTTGCGGCGCCGTGGGCTTTGAGGGTTGTGGAGGGAGAGGAAGTGGATATGGGTCTACTTTGCGTCGATTTCGTCTTAGTTGTTTGCGAGGGGGTCGAGTGCTTCGAGGCCGCGGTGGGCGAGATTGGTGCTTTGGGTGGGGATGGAGAGGCGGGAGACGGGCCGTTATGTTGGGTCTGGATGCGTGTCTTGACTACGTCGAGAGGGGTTGTTATGACGCCTGCCATGCCGCCTGCGGTCGCTGCGGTTGCGATTTCTAGCGGTAGTCCAATGTTGTTTGAGCCCATGTACTTCTTGGCCCAGTCCCGCTCTTCTTCGTAAAAGGCAAATTGCAGTGCCGAGAAGGGGAGGTCACGCCAGAGCGTGGCCTTGTAGCCGTGGAAGAGGGCGCTGTAGCCTTCCACCCTGGCTATTGTTCGCGCAGCGTCAATGGTCCCGCGGTAGTTGTAGCCTGAATTGAAGTAGGGGTTGTTGTAGCGGCCTTGTAATTGGAGGCGAGTCTTGAGGACTTCAGAGGGGACGTATGCGGGGGCAGCGGCGAGATCAGCGAGCAGACCTAGAAGTTTGTCAGTACATGGCGGGCTGTATTGATCTGTAGGGAGGTGTACCGGCTGAGAAGTATGCGACCGAGGGCGCAACCCCATAGTCAATCATGGTCCGCTTGGTCCACTCGTATGCTCCAAAGAAGCACACAGTGCCCGAGAATGACCCAAGAAACGCTGGCTTCACTCCTCCGTACAATCCTTTCCGGAAGCCCTCTTGCCGCCATATGGTGTAGTATGTGTTGCCCATGGATGTGTACTTGGGTGGCATGTGCGGGTCGCCCTGTTGTCGCGTCTTGACCGTATCCAGCGAATGCATCAACATGTCACCCGTAGTGCCTCCTATTCCTCCTGCCAGCATTGCCTGTTTGTGATCAATTGGCATCCCTCATCTCTGCAGACTAGGCATCCTCACATGTAGGTATGGCGGCCGCGCTGCTTCCTCGTCTATCTCGTCCTCCATTGCTGCCCGCTTGGTATCCTCCATGGGCAGTTCCACTGCGTGTGTTGTTCTTGGGCCATGTCTCCGGCTACCGTCGGTCAGGTTGGTGGTAGAGTCTCCGTTTGTGAAGAAGTTGGCCACGCGGGCAAGTACCATGAGCGCTTCGATGGCAGCGGTGCACTGGGAGTGGATCTGTGGGTGTTGTAGTGAAGAAAGTCGAGTATAGAGAAGTTTGATATGTGCAAGGGTATCTTCAAAGAGTGACGTTGCTGCCGCTGCGGCCGTGCGATGATGTTGCGTCTGGAAAATTTCGGCCAAGACCGGGACTGCGCAGCCGCATCCCTGCAAGCCCTGGCTATCAGCTATCAGAAGCACGGGGACCAGACGACGGCTTGATGCAGTTAAGACTACCTGAGCTATACCTACGCGAATGCCACCAAAACGACTGCAGACAACGTATCCTGCTCAGAGACAGCGTGGTGTTGCTGTAGATCAATGTATTTTGTAGGCTAAGCCCTGCAACAGTTAGCGCCCAGATGACCCACGTGAGCCCCAGCCATCGTGTTTACATCCAGAGTCTCTCTGCATCCGATCAACACCACACCGCCCCCACCTTTTTCGCCCACGACGCTTTTTCTGCTTGCATTCTTGACCCGTTTTGATCGCAAGCTTTACGCGACTTGATCTATACCACTCACAATGTCTCACTCTTGGCTTCAGAGGAAGCGCAAAGCTGACTTGATCGACCTTGCGCAGAAGGCTAGGCTTCCCGAGTAGGCTGGAATCGATCCTGCGCGTGTATGCGATACTAACAAGCCATTTGCAGTGCAGATGGCCTTTTGAAAGACGATCTCGTGGACCTGCTTGAGAGCCATCTCAACTCCAATGAGAGCACCTTTGCCAAACTCCCCGAGTTTAGCGACTACTACGGGCGCAATGGGTCGCCGGTAAAGCGCGAAAAGTCTTCGCCGGAACCCTTCTCCACGAAGACGACGCGCCGCCGAACTCTTAACAAAGACCCTTCGTATGTCGAACTTGGATACGCGACGCGCGACGCGCTGAGGCTAACAAACGCGCAGTCCCGAGTCTACCCCCATCATTACACCAGAAATCCGCAGCGTTGTCGCGCGTACACCAAAGCCGAGATCCGTCTCTCGACGTGTTTCTGAGATGGTCGCTGAAGCCGAACCCAAGGCCATGTCCCGTCGCGTTTCCGAGGTGGTTGCTCAAGCCGAACCCAAGGCCGTCTCTCGTCGCGTTTCCGAGCTGTACAATCAAGTGGACATTCCCGCATCGCCTGCCCAACTTGCTGAGGTCGCCGACCAGTCTTTCCAAGTAGTACAGACAAAGGCTGTCGAGCTGTGGGACAGGACCAGGATCGATGAGCTGAAGGAGTTCGTTCGCGAAAACGCAAGCTCGGTCGCTACCATCCAAACTATTATCCTGCTTGTCGAAGCTGTAGGACTACAGTACAACACGCTCGACACCACTCCATTATTCGCTACGCCCGCCGCCTTGGGCTCATACACAAGCAGCCAAGACGTTCGAGGACCAAACTTCTGGGCGCTGCTCTCAGCCGAGTGGTGGGCACCAGCTACCCTTTGGTCGCTTACGAGCTGGGTGCTACCGCTTATGTTCTCCTACTTCTTCAACTTGACCCTCCGCTCCAACACCTCGCGAAAGTCTTCTGAGCGCCAATACCCCGCTGACCCGCTCATCTTCAACATTGCGCGGGCAGTCCTGTCGTACAATGCCTACCGGGAAACTGTCAACATGGCATTTGCGCCAAGTGCGTGGGGTCCCTTCTCCGAGTACGCGGTTGCGCGCGTAGGAAACAATGTCCCGGGAGGATACTATGGGCTACAAATTGGCTCGCTGGTTGGCATACTTGTCAGCCTCTACGACGCCGCGTTGAAGAAGTAGTAGATACTTGTTGGGTTAGAACACGGAATGTGACTGGGTCTGAGGACGTGAATCTGGTGATACCTGTATGTTCATTGGCGTTTGGATATACGATACCTTCCACCCTGGCGAGCTGGACGCACTTGGCATCTGGATGCGGAGTTCGAGACCGGCGTTTATCGGAATGTCTGTTTCATTGGAGCTGCTACGCTTCATCGTTACCAAATATATACCTATGTCAAAATTGGTGCCCTAACTTGATCGCCTTTGAGAAGTAGTGCCCCGGGTGCAGACAAGACGCTCCAAATGCTTCAGCTGTTAGACCAGCCGCCACTGCGCGTTGTGGATGAAACACGTGAAGTCGCGTGTGCTATCGATAGCTCCAAGCGCGAAAGGGCCACGCCGTCACCCCTCCGTCCCAACATCCTGCCTGCCAACATCACTCTCACACGACTGCACCCACACAAACTTTACTCCAATATACCAATTGAACAACATACAACATGTCGGCTCAATTCATGCAGATGTTGCAGAACATGCAAGGGCGGTCAAACCGGTACAGCGCAGACTCCCTCTGAAGCTCCAATGAGTTACTAATATTCATCAAGTACGGTGGAAGATATGATCAATTCCGATGACCAACTCGCTGGCATGGACGGCATGGAACTTCGCGGTTGGAGTCACAACAACCCCACGGTGCCCAGTCGTGACCTCAAGGACCCAGTCGGCCAGACCCTCCTCGCTATCTTCAATCAAGAATTCGACGCACTACAAAACTACGTGGAGATGATGATCAAACAGCTCGGAGGCACCGAGGAAGCTCGCGAGACGCTCAGGAAGGATCTCTTCGCCAAACGATGGGGCCCCACGAAAACTCCCATCTACAATGTACTCTTGCCAGCGCTGCACATGATGCCAAACAAGAAGCAAGAATTACTGGGCGTCGTGAAGTATCTAGCCAATGATCTCAAAGTGCCAGTTGATGGCAAGGACGTCGTGGGCAGCACCGCCCTCTTCTGGGCCATATCCACAAAACCCTACGTGCAGCCCGAATTCGCGCAGATCCTCTTCGACGCTGGCGGTTCCGTCAACACGAAGAACCGCTTCGGTGCTACCCCAGGTTCAGAGATCGCCCAAGCCGACATCCACGGCGACACGAGCAAGAACGTGCAGATGCTCAAGTGGTACGTGGAGCATGGCGGTGATGTCGACAGCAAGGACACGGATGGTATGAGTATCAAGACGTTGGTCGAGATGATGAACATGAAGGTGCCGGCTATGGCTGCGGTTCTCAAGAAAGGAAGGGGACCGAGGAAAGAGGGGGATTGCACGAACTGCGGAAGGAGCCCGAAGGATGGCAAGGTCTTCTCGGCTTGTGGCAAGTGTAAAAAGGCGAGGTATTGTTCGCAGGAGTGTCAGAAGGTGGATTGGAAGGGGCATAAGAAGATCTGCAAGGCGACGTAAGGCAGGGTGGAAATGTGGTAGTGAGAGAGGTGAGGAGAGACGGTACTGGAGATGAAAGTGCCGCGTGGAAGAGTTGGGCGACCATCAAAGCCGGCCATGGCTAAAGTCTGGCTTCCTGGCTTCTGCAGGCGATAAGTCATGTAATCAGCTATGCACATACGGGTCGTTCACCGGCAAGACCGGCCCAAGCGGCGCTGACAGAGAAGACAAAGCGAACACGGTGTTTCGATAGCACGCGACACAACAACCCGTCTACGGAATGAGCGTGCGCGAAACGACTGGTGCGCATTTGACTGGTCTGGTAATTGGTGGGACGCAATACACGTCAGATATCGAATCGAGGTGTATACATTTTAATCGTCTTCACTTCCTCGCAGTCTCTACACCATTTCCTTCGAGCTTTTATCAAAAGCTGGATATGGTTAAAGAGTAGGGTGGGGCGCGGGGACACGCGAGCATGCATGCACGACGATTACTTGACGTCACTCGTAATACATTGACCGCCATCTCAAAAACGACTATGTCCATCTGAAACAATCCCTAACACAAGATCACTGTCCCCAGGAACTTACTTCGCTACCAATCGTCCATCCACAATGAGGCTAAATCCCAACGGCGACGCATCAACCTTCCCCAAACGCTCAGCCTTACCACACATCGCCGGCACCCCAAAAGACAACGCGTGGTTCTGGGGCGGCCACGATGAACTCGGTCGCCTGAACCTCCTCACCCCGGAGCGAATAGTGAAAGCGACACAAGAAAATGTCAAAACAGGAGAATCAGTCTCACTAGACCTGCCCTTGAACGTCCCCGCCCCAGCCTTTTTCGGACGAAAAGGCCTAAAACACCGCATCAAAACCATTGCCCCAGGCGCCTTCGACGATGAACTAGCATTTAACACGCAGAGCAGTTCGCAATGGGACGGTTTCCGCCATTTCGCACATCCAAAATATGAATGCCACTACAATGGCGTTCTTTCAGATGAAATCATGGCGGATGTAGACGACGACGGCGAAGACGGCGACGCAGCACCTGAGCGCTCACGTAAACTCGGCATCGACGCCTGGGCCAAAAAGGGTATCATTGGCCGGGGCGTCCTCCTCGACGTGTACTCCTGGTCCCAGAAAACGGGGAAGGAATACGACACTTTTACCAACCATGGGATTACAGCCTCTGACCTCCTTGCTTGCGCAGAGTCTCAAGGCACATCCTTCCACACCGGCGACATCCTCCTCATCCGCACCGGCTGGCTCTCCACCTACACTTCCCTCTCCCCCTCCGAGAAATCCTCCCGCAGCACCCTCCCCCACGACCAACACTTCTACGCCGGTCTCGCCGCTGACGATGCCATGAAAGACTTTCTTTACGACAACTACTTCGCGGCTGCTGCGACTGATAATGCGAATTTCGAGGTTTGGCCGCCGGAGAGTTTCGAGGGCAGTTTGCATGCGTGTATGTTGAGTATGTGGGGGATGCCGATTGGGGAGCTGTGGGATCTGGAGGGGTTGGCGGGGATGTGCAAAGGGAGGGGCAGGTGGGAGTTTCTGCTGGTTAGTAAACCGGTGGATGTGCCGGGGGGTGTGGGGAGTTTGCCTAATGCTGTTGCTATTTTTTGATGGGGAGGTGAGGAGGTGAGAATTGGTGGTTCGATACCCAGTTTGGAGACTTCAGCGTTATCCGTTTCTTTCTTACGCGTCGTGTCATATTTGATCTGATCAAGTGATTTCCACCTGCATCGTCCTAGTACATGGCACGCGAGTTTATGAAGAAGTTCGTTTGTATTAACACCTAAATCTGGCGTGGGGCATGGGCGTCAAGATCAAAACGAGTTCCTTCGTAATGCTCGACTCCTGCGCAAGCCGGAGAACAACGAAGCTTCATCGGCGACTCCGCATCCCGCAAATACAGATTCATTAAGCTAGAAACTTCAGCACTCTATCTAGGTTCGTCTTTGTGTCCGTGGTCTACATCTCTAGCCTCGACCTCGGTCTGGGCTGCAGCCGATCCCCTGGACTAACCCCAGATTCTACCTCCCGCTCTTAGCGCTAGCCGCATACACACGATGCGGCGCATCACCGGTGCTTTTTTGAGAAGAGTATCAAGCTATAGACCTAATTGGTATTTTGAGGCTGAATATTCGAAGCTGAGGTCCTTTACAGATTTTTGGTGGGTGCATTCAAAATCCATCTCGTTGACCAGGCCGGACCAAGGCCAGGCCCCATCGAGTCGGAGGCGTACTCCATCGTTGTTGATGGGCGCATTGCGTCCTCGCTGGACAGTTTTCGCTCGCGTCCAGACCGCGAGAAGTAACAGTGAGCGTGTATAAAGCTGCCAGATGCGCTGCTTTTCTGGTCAACCAGACTCGCTTTTCATCCTCGCGATAACTACACTCCAGAATGGCACCTGCCCTTCGCGCCATTGCGCTTGCATTGCGAGCCGCCTCGTCGACTTGCCCGTCATCACCCACCTGTCCCCAGGACGACCAATGCTCGCTCACCTTAAATGGAGCCACTCTTCAAGTCAGCTGCGCGACTGACTACTATGGTGGCGATTTGCAGTTAGCACAGGTAAGCATGACTCCACAGTACGCTGTCTCGAACTCAACGCTCATCGTTTCTTAGACATCATCCCTGGCAAGCTGCATTCGGGTATGCTCTACGACCACAGGATGCAATGCTGCAAGCTACGTGGATGGTAACTGCTACCTCAAAAATACACTCAATGCGGCTCAGCCGAAGTATGCCATCCCTACTTTGTAATTGACTTCCAATTAACTCAGTCATTAGTGCCAACGTGATCGGAGTAGCTGTAATCTCAAGAGATGCTACAACAACGCCTACTCCAGCGCCGGATGCCCCCACACAGTGTCCTGCCAGTTTCACCTGCCCGGAAAACAACGGCTGCTCGTACACTGATGGCTCACGCACCCTGACACTTACTTGCGGAGTTGACTTCTACGGAGGTGATTTCGCCAACCAGTACGCAGCAAGTCTCCAGGCTTGCACGCAAGCTTGCGCAGGCGATGCACAGTGCGTGGCCGCTTCGTTCGTTGGTGGCAAGGGTGCTGGTACTTGCTATCTCAAGAGCACAAAGAACGGTGGTTCCTCGAATGACGGTGTTGATGGTAAGTGAACCGAGCTGAGTTGCCTAACTTTTGCTGATCATCAAAGCTGTCTACGTTGTCTCCAATACCGTGCAGCCGAGCAGTTCAGCATCAAGCTCGACCCCATCGCCTTCCTCCACTGTTGAAACGACAACTGTCTCCCCTTCCACTAGCACAGATGTTATGGTCAGCTCTACCTCAATTTCGTCCAGTCACTCAACCTCGACCGAGACCAGTACTTCGACTTCAACCCCCACCCCTACACCTACGCCTACGCCTACTCCCACCCCCACACCTACCCCGATACCTGAACCACAACCTACTTGCGGCGTTAACGGTTTCCTAAAGGGAGGAATAACCTACACCAACGCTGGTCAGCAGACCCCGGCCTCTTGCAGAACCAGGTGTCAGGATTATAAACTCGCCGGTCGTACTTGCCGTGTCTATGGCATCAACACCATAAGCAGTATCTGCACACTTGCAGTGGGATATCCTGGACCAAATTTCGAGCAGGCATTTACACCTAGAGAAAATGGTCAGTATGTCTGGTACCCCGTGGAATGCCAGGTGTAAGAGGAGCGTTCTCGTGTATTTGGTGTGGGATGGTGTAATCTGATATCATCATCTGAAAGCGTATTCATATCTTGCGTTCAGATCTTATCTAATATATCGTTTGTACTTACCCTCCTCGAATGGGCCAGTCGCTTAGCTGTCGACTACATATCTTTCATCCAAAGTAAACATGTCTAAAGCTAAGCATTTCGGCTGTGTCAAGGTCAAACAGTGTGCGGCTAAAGGCCTATCACGAGTGGTCAAAGCCTGATTCTCCACATGCACGGATCGAGCACAGTATGCGAAAACAGAACGAAGATTGGGACAAGCCAAACTCCAGTCCGAATTGAGTAACAACCTCGAAAACATAAAGTGTAAATTTCGTGAGAAGAGCGCGCATGCGATTAATCAGATCGTTGCGCCTCAGGCCCGTCTTAGCAACGTTCATGTGCTTCTCCAACGCGCCGATGTGCATGTACAGCATCGTCAACAACATACAGAGTTTTGATAGTACACCCAGGAGGTACTCGCATCAAGATCAAGTACAAATGATGATGATGGTGATAATGATGATAGCCACATGCGAAGTCACGAAGCGATAAGGGCGAAGAATGTGAAGTGTTGGGGGAATCTATTCTCTATCTTGTACGAGATGGAATCAGATGAAGAGCAACCATGCAAGTTTTGTACCGTGACGCCGACCATGAACACATTACTCATAGACTGATATCGATTCAGCCTGTCATGCAACCCATGAACTCTCCTGCCGTAAACCAAAACCGAAGGAAGGAAACTTTTCGAAAAGGGCGGCGATACGTCTACTCGTCCTCGTCGGAGAAGACCTCCTCGCCACGCTTGCGGCGGGCCATGCGGTCCTTCTTCTTCTTGCGCATCTCGGAGGAGGTGAGCTTGGCTTTCTTCTGCGGGGGAAGTCAGTATACGTTTTTTGCGCGTTTCTTCGTCATGCTAACCTTTTGTGATGCGATCTTGTTACCCTATTGTCATAGTTAGCACATGTCTTGAGAGGGTAGGGTACAAGGGGGCCGCCAGGGGGGTGGGCGGGTCGAATCTGGTCGACATCAGGAAGCAGGAACGGGGAAATCACGGACCATGGCATCGAACTTTTGGCATAAGTTAGCATATATTCAGACAAAAGTTGGGTTGAGTGATGACATACCTTCTCTTCTTCTTCACCGTCGTCCTTGGCAAGACGGGGTCCGGCACCCTGACCTTGCACCCAGTTGTGACCGGAAGGAGTCATGCGACCGTCCATGACAGCCCAGACTTCCTCAGTGAGGTTGGCAGTGAACTCGGCGGAGTGAGTAATGATGATGACACCACCCTCGAAGGTCTTGATGGCCTTGGAAAGAGCACCAAGAGAGTCACGGTCCAGGTAGTTAGTAGGCTCGTCGAGGACGATCAAGTGAGGACGCTGCCATGAGCAGGCAGACAGAACGACCTTGACACGCTGACCTCCGGAGAGACCACGCATGCGGGAGTGGGAAACGAGCTCAGCGTCGAGACCGAAGTTGGCGCAGTGGGCCTCAATCTCCTTGCGGACAAGGGGACGGAATTGACCGCTGGCAAGAGCCTCCTTCTGGTCAACCTCGGCAACCATCTTGGCGTGAGAAGCCATGATCTCGGAACGAGGAATCCAGGCGTTGTCAGCAGACATCATGGGTGTCCAGCGCTCGTTCTTCATGCCAACGTTCTCTCCGAGAGCGAACGAACACTCGTACTCGTAGGAGTTCTTGAACTTCCTGCGGGAGTTGATGCCGATGACGCGACGCTCGGTACCCTCGATCTTGTAGATCTTGTCCATGGCCTTCTCGTCCTCCTCGGTGACGATCTTGTTGGCGCGGTCCATGGTCTCACGGTCCTCACCAGTCTGGAAACGCCATTGAATGTACTCGGAAGGAGTCTTGTCGAGGTGGTGGTCAATATGGGCGAAAGCGTGCTGCTTAATGTAGGCAATACGGATGTTCTCGTGGTGGTAGATCTCACCCTTCGTGGGGACAAGCTCACCAGTCAAGACGTTGACAAGGGTGGACTTTCCGGCACCGTTGGGACCAATGACGGCGATACGGGATCCGAGCGAACATTGGAAGGTAATGTCCTCAATCTGGGGCTTGGAGGTACCCTCGTACTGGAAGCTCATGTTGGTGGCACGGAGAATGGCCTTGGCCTTGGTCTTGACACCCTCAAGGAAACCGGGCTCGGGGAACTTGAACTCCATGTCGGAGGCAGCAAGCTCGTGGTAGGACTTGGCAGAGGGCACACGCTTGACGAAGTCGTCAAGGTTACCACGGTAGCGCTTAAGCTTGAAGCGCTCGTAGTGGATGACGTGCTGGATGACGTTGTTCAAGAACTTGCTGTCGTGGGAGATGACAATGGATGTGCAAGGGGAGCTGGTGAGGTAGTCCTCGAGCCACTTGACGTTCTTGACGTCCAAGTGGTTGGTGGGCTCGTCGAGCAGCAGAATGTCAGGCTTCTCGAAGACAGCACGGGCAAGCGCGAGCTTCATCTTCCATCCACCGGAGAGAGCACCAATGGTACCGTTGTACATGGCGTCGGTGAAACCGAACTCGTTGAGGGTAGTCTTGACCTCTGACTCAGGGGTCTCAACACCGACGGACTTGAGCTTACCCATGGTCCACTCAAGAACGGTCATCTCAGTGTCAGCAGAGTCCAAGTCGTGCTCGACGTAGACGGTCTTGACCTCGTTCTGCTTGGGGAAACCCTCGACCTGCTCGTTGTTGATAGCGCGCATGAGGGTGGTCTTTCCGGAACCGTTGGGTCCGAGGAGACCGTAACGCTGACCACGCTTGAGACGGAGATGAGTCTGGTTGAGCAGGATCTTAGCACCGTAGGCCAAGTTGAATGTGCAGTTGCAGAGATCCTCGCCCTCCTCCTCATCAGGCTCGACGGCGCGCTCAGCGGCGGCACCGGGGAGAGATCGCT